TGGAAGGACATGGTTCTTCAGATGGGTGGCAGGTTGGCCAGGAATGAAATTGTTGAGTTTATGGCATATGCTGAGGTAAAAAATGGAAGGGTTACCAGTATGGTGAAAGCAATGCAAGTCTCTTTAGATATGAAGGAGTTGGGAGAAATTCTGTGTGTACCGGCTGAGGGGTACAATGACTATACAAAGCTCAAATGGCCAAGCCTAGAAAATCTTCCTACTGCCCTTGCCATTACCAGAAAATTCAGTGACAATGAGGAGGAAATTGAGCCCAAGGCTATGTACAAGAGTGAGATGAAGTCACCCCACAAAGTGTTATTCGAATTTGTCAACAAATGTGTTTTGCCAAGGCAGGAAAGAAGGCACATTGCAAACTTCATGGACTTGGTCCTCATGGAGTGTTTGGATAGTGGGAGGCAGATTAATTGGCCTGGATTTATAATCTAGCTTCTTGATAGGGTTCTAAATGGCACAAAGACTCATGACATTCCCTATGGCTTCATTCTCACAGTTGTGCTTGCATATTTCAAGGTACATATGAAGAAGTGGGAGGTTGGTACAAGCAAGGATTATTTTGGGGCAAATACTCTGATTGCTTGTGACTATGAAATCCATGCCACTCCTAAAGAACTTGGTTCATCTAAGAAGGTACCAGTGAATAGCAAGGTAAGAGCCTTGGTGCAAGAAAGTGGGGCTAAGGATGCTGAGATTAAGAGGCGTAAGAAGAGGTTGGCTAAGGTGGACACTGGGAGAGATGCTCTCAGAACTGAGCTGGCAAGAGAAAAGGAGAAGAATGATGGCATTCTTCAGGATATGCTGAAACTCCTCCAAGCCAAAAACCAAGCATTTGATCCTTCCCAACCTTAAGCCTCCTAGACTAGTGTAGATCAACCAGTGACCCAGTTCGGTATTTTTTTGTTATTTTTGCTCATGTTTCCAGTGTGTTTATTTCTTCTTATGCTTTGTGGTAAAATCTTATCAATCATCAATGAAATTCACTGTCTTTTGCTCTAACTGTTTGTTTATATTTCTTTGATGGTTAAAATTCTTAACTTAATTATGATGATTAATCCATGATTGCATTTGAAGTAGCCCTAGTGGCCATGAGTAAGTTTAAAGATCTGGTTATCTTACTTATGTATGCAACTTTTTGATGATGCCAAAATGGGGAAAAAGGTTGCGCTTTACACTTTGAACAATGATGTTTATAACCTAATGTACCTGGTCCTTGATGATAAGTGATTAAAAGAAAAAATATTTCTAATATTGTGTTGATGTTGAGCTAAGTTGAAACAAGACCTAAGCTTATGAAAAGCACATGGTTTGTCATCATAAAAAGGAGGGAATTTGTTGGCCCAAGTGAAGGTTAGTTTTGAAGATTGACAAAGGAAGCTCAGGCATGAACCATATCCATCCCTTGTGTGCATAGACACGAGCAGATTCAAGCATGTGGGATGCACGTGAAGGAGATAAGCTTAACTTGGTATAATTGATATTTCCTGATCGAAAAGGTTGCATAATTGATAAGGAGAAGGATTCCTTAATCAAATTGAACTCTATTCAAGATAAGAAAGGAGTTAGAAGTTGAGATCAACTAGAACTCTTCCACCAAAGAAGAGTAGCATTAGAACTCTAATTATTTCTTCATCTACTAACTCTATATATTACAAGATGTTCTCATTCTACAGGTACGCACAAAAGCAGAAGTAAAACGTGAATTGAGAGCAAAATAGCAAGGCATTTTACAAGCAATTCTCGTATGAACCAGATAGAAGAACCAACTCCAAGTGCATGTCTTTTATTCTAGTTCAATTGTAGCAGGTGTTTTCATATTGTACCTTTCAGCTTTATCTAGAGGCAATTGTAATAGGTACTCAGAGTATTCAAGTTAGAGTTAACTTGAAGTTATCGCAACAGTTAGAGGTTGTTTGCCACAACGGGATTAGAGTTAATCCTAGGTTTACAAAAGTATTTTATAAATGCAATTTTTGGCTCAGTGATTTAGTGGAGGGAAAATCCTACTTAGAAGTAGGTCGTGGATTTTTTACCTTTTGAACCAGATATTTTTCACGTAAAATACTTGTGTTCTTTACTTTCCGCATTTACTATTTCAGTAATAGTAGGTTAAGGAACACATAGAAAAATCCGGTCCTTCCATATTCAGTTCAAGCGAAAAATTGGACACCACACAAATCACCCCTCTCGTGTATAGTGAAGTTAAAACATCACTATTAATCGACTTTTTGTTATAAGTACATAGGCCTAAAAAGATCATTATGACATTTTCACAAAATGCGGTCACAAACTCACATCGATTTTTTTGTCCTGAAAGCAGCTAACTGAATTAAAAAGAAATTGCTTAACATTTTCTCTAGATATCCTAAGGGGGAAAAAAATCAAAATTCTTGAAAAGCTTCCTTGCAATTGTCAATCAAAGAAGAAAAAAAATAAACGACAAAAAAGAAAAAGTAGTGGCTTGGTGGTGTTTGGTTGGTTGGATTTTCTTTTTAAAATTTTTTTATTCCCAATATAAAATCCTAGGAGCAAAAACCTTTTATGATTTAATTTAGTCTAGCGATGTTTTTGCATAGTATGGGTAAATTTAATCATTTTCCGTTATAAGAAAAGATCACGTGTTGTATATTTGACTAAGATTCTACCATTATTTAATAAAAGTAAACATATCCTATTTTGTAATGGCTATGGTATACTTGGTATACTTGCTCATAGGGGTGAGCGACGGTCGTTTCAGTCGGTTATTATGAAAATACGATTTGGTTTATCGGTTTTTGATTTTGTAATATTAATAATCAAATCAAACCAAAGTATTTACGGTTCGGTGCGGTTTTTTTAAGGTTCGATTCGGTTATTTTCAGTTTAGTTTTTCAGTTATTAACGGTTTAAAATTTTTATATTCGATGTACACTACGAATCTTGAGGTCGGTCTCTGGCTAGCAGAGCAGTTAGTATAGATAGACATGTGCCACTGAAAGATTTCAAAATACAATTTCCATTTGACAAGGCATACATTTAACAATTTGACAAACAAGCAGCGTTTGATAGAAATGTCAGAGTCAATACTATGCTTATTGGTTTTTTACTGCTTTGATTTTTTTTGTTCTTACTTTTGGAATAAAACGGCGCATAACTCCAATTCACTTAGTCACTTAGACCAATTAATAGGCGAAATAACAACTGCAAAAGCAAAACTATTTTTTAACAAACAAGGCAGCGTAAGGATTTAACAATTTGAGACAAAATTTCGGTTTTTCGGTTTAACCGAAACACCAAAACTGTAAATTTCACAGAAAAAATAAAATTTAATAATTTAAAAATCGCGCAACGACCGAATAACCGATTAAACCGAAACCGAAAAACCGAAATTCACGGTTCGGCCGATTTTTTCGATTCGACAGGTATTATGCCCACCCCTACTTGCAGATGCGGCTTAACCCCGGGCCATTAAAGCGATTGCTTTAGGCCTCACAAAATTAGTGGCCCCAAAAGTTGCTCTTCTTATGTGTAATTTAAATAGAGCAAAAAACATAAGTAGGCACTATTCTAGAAAATTTAACACAAGCATAGCAGTAATCCATAATTAACAAAAATGGGATTCATAATTAACAAAAACGACAGCAACTTAACGTCATTCTTGGTTGTTACGAATTTATTATGGCATCTAATATTAACAATACCATAATAAATTCTTAAATTAGAGGATGGAATAAGGTATAATAACTCTAATCTTTTTTCCCCCTATTTTTTAACTCAAAATATTTCAAATATTTTTACAAATAAAATACAATTAAGAAACGATAATTGTATCCTAAAACAATTAATGTATAATATCGTATATTGAATTGATAATTTGATATGATACATGTATCTTATTTTTAAGTCTATCTTGTATATTAATATATGTGATATCCCATATNTATATATATATATATATATATATATATATAAAGATCTATTTTATGCATGTGGTTTCAACACATTATAAATCATGTATAACGATATTGTATAATCTCATCCAAATAATAATATACCTTTGAATTCTAAAGTTGGTAAGAGATATTTCCGAAGTGGTTGGCAGCGAGGAGTTTTCTGCTGGTTGAAAATCTTTTTAGACCGAAGAGCAATTTTATGTTTAATTCAAAACTTTGATCGGAATATGGTGTCAAAAGGAAAAAAGATTAAAAAAAACGTGTAGATAAGATGATTATGGGGTAACTTTTAAAATAGAAGATGAGAGGAGAGGAGAGAGTATGAAAATAAAAGGCAATACCATAATTTGTGTTGTGTGTTGACTAATTTATCCCATTATCTTTGCAATATGCTAATTACGTAAAACAATCTGCTATTTATGGAATAAACAAAAAGTGATATTATTTTCTTAAATAATTTTTAAAAAGTGCTTAGCCAGGAAGTTTCTCCATTTAAATATTTATTGTACTTATTATATGTTCTTTTTATTTAGTTAGTTGAGAAAATCTAATAAAAGTGATAGGCAACTAAATATGCACTTGTTTTCTAGTTATTCTCATTCCGACTTGAACAAATTTTATTTTCAACTCTAACTTTGTAAGATATTTTTTTTCAAGGTCTCTATAGGAACGCTTCAAGCTAATTAGATAGTAAGAAACTATAGTTGATTTGTTTATCATCTTTGTAAATACAAATTCCCACATGAGTGTTACTTTGGGAGGCCGTGATACATAGAGATAAGTTGATGGTCATGTGAAAAAAATATAAAATTAAACTTAATAATTATTATTAAAAATTAGTAGTGTTTCACCAAAGATTATATGGGTCGGTTACATCGTCAAAATTAAGTTGTATCTAAAAAAATAAAAAGAATAAACTTTAAACAAATATATCTAAAATATTATTAAATAAATTTAAGGCCTCATATTACCGTATAGCCGCCTCTCATATAATAAGTTTGTACAGTTTAAGGGCAGATTTGTCTATTTTTCCAAATTTTAAATATTCTCAAATTAAGTTACGATATTTGTACAAAACAGTCCCCAATTTTGCACCCAGTGCAATTCAGTACGTTAAAATTCTCTAAGCCTGTTAGTATGAGTTTACTTCAATGGCAGGTTTAGGCAGAGGAAGCAAAATTTTCCAGCAAAATCTGAAGATAACACAGTTAGGTAAAAGGGGTCAAATAGATGAAGCCATCAAAGTATTCAATAGAATCACACACCCAAATACTGTCACCTACAACTCAATGATCTCTGCCTATTCGAAAAATGGCAGAATATATGATGCACGAAAGGTGTTCGACAAAATGCGGCTTAAAAATTTGGTCTCTTGGAATACAATGATTAATGGGTATTTGTTTAATGGCCAAGTTAATGAAGCATGTGAACTGTTTGATAAAATGCCTGAAAGAGACCATTTCACTTATGCATTGATGATTACTTGTTTTGCGCGTAATGGGGCGCTGGAGAAGGCTAGAGATGTGTTTGAGTCATTTCCTGATAAAAGTAATGTAGCTTGCTGGAATGCAATGCTTACAGGGTGTGCAAAAGCTGGAAGGTTAAATGATGCTAGGCAACTGTTTGATGAAATGCCGGAAAAGAATTTGGTTTCATGGAATTCGATGCTCTCGGGTTATACCCAGAATGGGGAAATGAAATTTGGATTGAAGTTTTTCGAGGAGATGGAAGAGAAGGATGTCGTTTCTTGGAATTTATTGTTGGATGGGTTTATTGAGGTTGGGGATTTGGATTCTGCTAAGGAGGTTTTTGCTAAGGTTCCTTATCCAAATGTTGTTTCCCGGGTGACAATGCTCAGTGGATTTGCACGATATGGGATGATTTTGGAGGCTGAAAGGATTTTTGACCAAATGCAGGAGAAAAATGAGGTTGCTTGGAATGCCATGTTAGCTGCATATGTCCAGAATGGCAAAATTGACATGGCTGCTTCATTGTTTAATAGAATGTCCCAGAGGAGTGCCGTGGCTTACACTACCATGATAGATGGTTATGTTCGTGCTGGAAAGCTCAAAGAAGCAAGGGATTTGTTGGATAATGTGCCATACAAAAATGTTGGTGCACGAACAGCTATGATTTCAGGGTACGTCCAAAACAATAGGGTGGATGAAGCTCGATGGATATTTGATCGAACTGCTACTCGTGATGTTATTTGTTGGAATACAATGATTGCAGGATATGCTCAATGTGGAAGAATTGATGAAGCTTTTGATCTGTTTAAAAAAATGGAACCAAAGAGCATAGTTGTTTGGAATACCATGATAGCAGGTTACGCTCAGGTGGGACAAATGGGAAAAGCACTTGAGATGTTTGAGAAGATGGGAGAAAGAAATGTAATTTCTTGGAATTCTCTAATTTCAGGTTATACACAAAATGGTTTCTATATAGATGCGCTTAAACATTTTATCATGATGTCACGTGATGGCAAGAAACCAGATCAGTCTACGTTTGCTTCAGCATTAAGTTCATGCTCCAATCTTGCAGCTGAGCATATGGGAAAGCAACTTCACCAAGTGGTTATAAAATCCGGTTATGTGAAAAATTTGTCAGCTTGTAACGCTTTAATATTTATGTACGCAAAGTGTGGAAATATCTTTGATGCAGAAAAGATGTTTGAAGATGTTGAAAATGCTGATATTATATCCTGGAATTCTTTGCTTGCTGGATATGCTTTAAATGGATATGGTAAGGAGGCTGTCAAACTTTTCGACGAGATGGAAGAAAAGGAAGTGGTTCCTGATGAAGTGACATTTGTTAGTGTTTTATCTGCATGTAAGCATGCTGGCTTAAGTAATGCTGGTGCAAATTTGTTTGAGCACATGACCAAAAAGTATTCTATCAATCCTTCACCTGAACATTATGCTTGCATGGTTGACTTACTTGGGCGAGCAGGGAGGTTAGAAGAAGCTTTCCTTTTGATAAAGGAAATGAAAACAAAAGTCACTGCCGAAATGTGGGGTGCCCTATTTGGAGCTTGTCGCATGCATAATAATCTAAAGATTGCTGGCTGTGCTATCGAGAAGCTTCTTGAACTTGAACCTCATACATCTACTAATTTGGTTGTCTTATCAAACATGTATGCTGAGCTAAGAAGATGGGGTGATGTGGAGAGAGTTAGGGAAACAATAAAAAAGAGTGGAGCAGGCAGACTACCAGGATGCAGCTGGATTGAGGATAGAAAACAATTCCTTGTTTTTCTTTGTAGTGATGATATTTCAGCACAGGCAGCGGAGAATTTTAACGTGTTGTTACCTTTAAGTGCACAGATGATGGATATGTGCCATATGCCTGCCACGACATCATTTGGTCTTGACTTGGATAGTTGAACCATAAGCATGTAAATTTAAGTGCCAAACATGCATTCACAAAATTGTTTCTGGTTTACCCCTCTCTATTCTTGAAACCGTATCAGATGACAGTAGCTGCTGATGCTTTGATGTTGTCTGAAGCTTCTGAATGTCAGATGGAGCATTTAATAGTGGTTCCAAGGTGGTAACTGATGTTAGGATATAACCAAATGCGGTGATGAAAGAGCATTTGCTTGTTGGTATTAGATGATATTTCCAGTTTCACCATATAATGGGGTTGTGAAGTGTGGCATTCTAGGATTTTATTGTTGAGAGATTTTACCAGAGTCAGTCTGCTTGTAAAGAGGAGGAATTAAGTGTCCTCCTGTTGAGTGCAAGGTTCCTACTTTGCCATGGTATTTCCATATTCAACCATTAACCGAGGAAAGGGGGGGGGGGGGGGGGGAGGCAAGAGAGAGAAAGAAAAGCTAAAGGAAAACAGAAAGAGAATTTTCCTAAGCATTCGTCAGAAAGGGTGGAAAAGATCAAGCCTCATGATTGTGCTTCCAATTTAGGGGTTTTTCTGTTCTTACCCCGCGCCCATCTGCTGGGGATCCGCTAACAAATCCACGAAGCCGGAAATCCTAATTACACTGCTTATATAGGTAAGTTTTCAGCTATCTATAGATGTGTTTCTTTATGTTTCTGTGTTCTTCATTTGTGAATTTGAATGAGTCAGCCCTCTTATTCGTTCTGAATTTCATGCTCTTTGTCAAACAAAAAACAGCAAATTTTAGGTGCTTTAGGTTTCAAACATAGGAATTTTTACTTGGTTTTCTAGCTCACATACATGTATATTTATCTCTATTTTCCATCAGCACTTGAGGGGCATGTCGTTGTAGACTTTAGAAATTAACTGTTTTATCTGGATATCTTGCACTGTTTCTTGATGGAATTGAAAATTATTTGTACATTTGAGGGATAACTTTTGTGTCTCTAGTTTCCTTTTAGTGAATAGATGATTGGGTGCATATTTTAGAGAACCATATTCCTATGTAGGTTATCTAGTTTTTGCTATGGTTCTTGTATACAAGAATTTTCCCACGTAAATAAAATAATTTTACCTTATCAAAACTATTGCACTTTATTTTGCTTTCTGAAGACTGGGATTTAAGGTGGATAGTAGTTGGATTGTCAGCTCTGAATGCCAATGATGCAAAACATCATATAAAAGTGCAGATGGGTACAGATTCCATTTGGGCGAGTCAGTTTTTGAGATGAATTGCTTGCTTGATCGATGTGCCAAGCTTTCTGTAGCAGAGTAGACATCTGCTCATCTTGTTATGTGTTTATGGGTTTGCATTGCTTTTATTGAATTTTTCTCTGCATGCTGTGTGGTATTCTTCAACTAGGGCCCCTTGTACATCTCAATATACTGAAACTCAACGGGCTAAACATTTGGCTATTGCTAAATACGGGTTTGAATTGCCCTTATTGTAGGCAATTTGCGCATGATTGCAAGTGATCATATGATGTTTAAATTCTGATTGAGTCAGCTGTCTGACTTGAATTCTGAATTTGATGCCCCTGAACAAAAAGGAGCAAATATTAGGCACTTTTAGTTTCTATCTTCATCCATAATTGAGGGGTAAATCGTGTTGTAGGCCTTTTGGCGTTAGCTGCTTTTATCTAGACATGCTCTGTATTCTGCTTTATAAAGCCTATAATTTAAGATGAGTTATCTTTGGATTTTCGTAGAGTACAATAATGTTAAAGAGCATATAAAAGTATTGATGGTTACATATTACACTGAGCGGATTAAGCTTTTGGACTAATGGTTTGCTTACTTTATTTACGAAACCTTTTGTAACTGCATTGATATATGCTCAACATGTTGAGTTGTTATCGGTTTTCAACTAGGGCATGTGGTTGACTTGTACATTCCTCATCATAATGAAAATGAACAGGCAAAAGGTTCCGTTGTTTAAAACATGGGTTGACATGCTTTTTTTTGCAGGGAATCTCGATGGAATGGAAGTGATCGCGTGTTCTGCATAATATTCTAATTCAGCTAGGGCTAAGGGAAGTGTTTGCGAGGTTTTGATTTACAGGCGTATGGATTATGAGCAACCCTAAACTCTTCTAATAAAAGCCAGAAGGTTTGCCTTGCACTATATGAGACAGAGGAGATAGCAGGCTAAGCTGTCAGGTTACTCTTTGGCTTGAAAACAACCTTACCAAAGAACACTATAACCTGCTGTATGTCTTTGTTACCCAACTTCTAATTTTATTTGTGACTTGCCCATGAAAAAAAAGATGTCCTAAACACGTAAATTCTGTTTGGGTGCTTTTACAGTCTTGTCTTGTGACATGAGATGTCATTATAATTTCTCTCTTTTTCTTGTTGATTACTGAGGCCAGTTGATAAATGGTTCGAAACTCGGTGGATAATGGCCCGTCCCTTTACTCTTCTCTACGTAAATGCCAAGTTTTTGTATATGGAAGGGTTCAAACCCGTAGCGTTTGCCTAACTTACACATGTATTTCATGTGTACAAACGGTTTTATGTATAGTTCCAGATAGTTTCAAAGATAATGGAGATTTCGTACTATAAATTTGCAGAAAGCATTGTAGAAAAACTGTATATTACAAGATTGAGCGAACAATATGGAGTATTACATTGTAGAAAAACTGTATATTGCAGAAAAAATTATTTTGAATTGTAGCAGAGATGATATTTTAGCCAGATTGAACCGAACAATACATGTATTAGCAACCAACTCCTTATTTCAAAAAATAAAACTGAAATATTCAGATAATACCTTGAATTTTTTCATGACATATAATGATGAGAAATCACTAGTTCTATCCTTTGCAGGAACTACCCTTTAAGAAGCATCAGAACTTTATGTAGATTTTGATTTTTGACCTTATTCTGCACATGTTTGTCTAACAATTTGAAGCTACATTAACCTTTCCTATTTTCGAGTAAGAATGCAAAAGTAGCAAATACTATATTATCCCCTAACACATAATGTGGAAAACCTTTTCAGCAGTATTTATTACGTATATGTTTCAGCTAACATACTACAAATGTGACTAAACAAAATTAATGAAGTTTATTAAACTGGACACCGCTTAATCTGAAAATAAATTAAGGAGATGTTGTGTGTGTGTGTGTTTTGGAGATAGTAATTAATTTCAGGCAGCGCTCGGCGGCATTTTGGCGAGAGAAGCGACAAGAACAACGACGAGCAAGGCAACACAAAGGAGTGGAATGGAGTTGGGTGTAGATGCTCCAGCTACAACTGGATCTACTACTGGTGCAAAAATCATTGTTTTAACCAAAACTGCCATCACAAACAAAACCCCAAAACCACCAACGAGACGCGCGACTTCATCCATGCCAAAAGTAACTTTTTTCTTCTTATAAGTCGGAACGGCAAATGACTGAATCTCAGTGGATCGTGACATAGTACTTGATCGCGTAACAAAAGGCTGAACGTATGTTTTGAAGAGATGTTCATACAAACCATATATAAAGATTGTGTAATGGCCTAATGGGTACTTGCCAAAAATAGATAGTGTGCAAAAGGAGAACAAGACAATCACGAATTATTGGGATTCCAAAAAAAGAACTTACCATAATAGAGGTTCGGCAAAAATTTACCCGTATTTGGGTTTTACACCACAATAATGAATACATGACACATACACTTTTATCATTAAATTATAGTTAACTTATATAAATTTTTACCTTAATTTATGACTTAACCAAAAGTTAGTATGATTTAATGTAAACAGAGTAAATATTTACCCATATGTTCTAAAGTTATTCTAGCTTTTAAGGAAAGTTAGAAAATTTGCTTTACACTTTCTTGAAGTTTGAAAATTTGCTTAACACTTTCATGACATATAAGTTTTACGATTAATACTGAAAGCATATCTCTTTAATACTAGTATATGTTAGCAATGCCCCTTTAACAGTGTAGCTTACGACTCCTAAATCAAAAAGAGAGTAGCTTTTATATGTAATTGCTTTTTAAGTAAAATAATTGATCCTTGAAGAAAGTACTAAATTGACTTAAAATTAGCGCTTGTTATTTGAGAAATAAGAAAAATCATATAGTACAATGTTGGTACTTGTTAATTAAGTTTATACAAAAACGGGTCTCTGCCTATATATGCTTTGGTGGATAAGTTATATCATATGTGTGCTGGTCAGAGCTAGAAAATACGCAGTGAAATAACCGAAATGCAACTAAGTTGGTACGGACACCTCCGTTTTAAAAATACAAATTTATGAAAAAACTGGTCTTGTCGTTTAGAATTTAGAAATTTATCAATAGCATTATGCAAAAGAAATAAGTAATTTTATCATCCTTAATATTTTAATTCACTAATAATTTGTATCCCAGGATGTTTCAAGCTTCTTCTTCACCATCATCTTCTTATTTTTCTTCTTCTAGATTTTTGAAATGCGAGAGAAAAGCTTTTTTCTAGTTGTTTTGAAATGTGGGAGAAAAAGAAGGAAAGAAATAGAATTTGGTGAAACATCTTCACGGATGTTTGAAATATTTCTTGGAATTTAGGACAAAAGTTAGTGCAAATTGCAAATAACTCACCCTTTATCCAGGAGACGAGAAGCTGCTTGGAATTTTGGGAGAGCTTGCATTCACGTGGAGTAGAAACTGTTAGATGTTAAATAGAGTTCGACAAAAGGATCAAATCTGCTAAATTTTGGAAGGTCGTTTGGTTCGAATACAAGTTATACATGAATTAATAATACATAGATTAGTAATATATGAATTAATAGTACATTAATTATGTTTTTTGGGTGTTTGGTTCATTGCACTGAAATTGAGCATACAAAGTATCATCTAAATTATTTATTTACTTTTTAAACTAAAAAATAATGAATTTTAAATTATATCTTAGGATATTTGGTCTTCATTGGCTTCTTAGGAAAAGACAAAAGATAGTTTTCTCCTTTTGGTGCTTTATTCATGTATAGTTTACATATGATTTAGTTATTTCATGTTGATGGTGGGATAAGATAATACAATAATTTGTCATGATCCGTCACGTCATCATGCCACATAGGTGTCACTTGGCGTATACTTTTGCTATATCGAAAGCTTACATAGGAAAGAGCATAACACTTGTAGGAAGGTTCTAGAGAAATATAGAGGTTTCCTTAAGAAGACCCTATAACCTTATGGATTTGCTAAGAAAGTCCTTGAAGATTCTAGCTATGTAGAGAATTCTAGAAAGGGGACTTGTAAATAATAAGGGACTTGTGTAATAATTTTTATTTACTTATTAGCCCATAGGAGACTAGTATATGAAGGGGGGATATTCATTTGTAACCCATCAACCAAAACAATCAAGTTCTCTCTAAGATAAAAAGCTTCCTTTGGCAATTCTCCTGTGTTCTAACATTCATTTAGCTATCTTGAGTGTAGTATTTTAGGCTGACTTAGCATAGCAGGATCGTGAGCAAGTTGTCAAGTGCCGCACGTATACTTAGTTCAAGACTAAGGACGTGACAACGTGATATCAAAGCAAAGGTTGCAACTAAGGAAATGGCGAACGACAGAGAAACTAACGCTGCCATCACCTAAGCCAATGTTATCCAGGATGCTGCTGGCAAGAATAGCCGTAACAAAAAGAGGAATGCCACAACAAGAGCCAGGAGGTGCCGCCCGAGGTTGTACCAAACGAGGGGCTTACATTCCAAGAACCATCTACCACTGAGGCAAGCGAGGATAAAGTAGAGGTCCTGCCAGAGGAAGTCTCGCTCGGTAAAGAGTGGGTGATGAAGGTGAACGCGGGGATGGACTCCGTCGAGATCTTTGGCCAACGCTTGGGGAAGGTGGAAGGCACCCTTAGCGTTCTTGAGGGACACACTCTTGAAGAAATTAAGAGCATCCGAAATGACTTGCAGAGGCATATGCAAGTCGAGATGGAGTGCAGACTAATGGAGGCGTTGAGCACTATCGATGCAATGAAGGCAAAGATAGAGTCACTCGAGGAGCATGCCGATGCTGGCGTGATCGAGGCAGACAACAATGTTGTTGTGATGAGGGATGGCAAGATCGATGCTCCTAAGCCACCGGAGTTCAAAGGTGTTCGTGATGCACAAAAAGTAAAGAACTTCCATTGGCACCTAGAGAATTACTTCAAGCATGGCAAAGTGAGGGATGATGAGGCCAAGATTAACACTGATATGTTGTAACTCTTAGATATTGTCACGTTGTAGTGGCATCGAAGGTGTGTTGACATGGAGAAGGAGCTATGCAAGATTGAGACATGGGAGCAGTTCAAGAAGAAGTTAAAGAAGCAATTATATCTGATGAATATGGTGTACGAGGCCAGGCGAAAGCTAAGGGAGCTCCGACATACAACCACAATTCGGGAGTATGTGCGCAACTTCACTACCTTAATGGTGCAAATTTTGTCATTGTCCGAGGAAGATTCCCTCATCTACTTCATAGATGGGTTACAAAATTGGGCAAAGTTTAAGAAGATATCAAGCAGCCAACGTGGATGAGGCCATAGCGGTAGCTGAGTCACTCGTTGACTTCAAGATGGAACCTGCCAAGTCCAAAGAAGGCAACACCGAGAGGGGTGGGGGAGATCATAACAAGGACAACGGGAAAGACATAGTAGAGGTATACAAGTAATGGCAAGGGGCCATCCCATAACAATAGGAATCCAAGGGAAACGGCAAGGGGTCGAAAAACACTAACGAGTATGTGCCTAAGAGAGGGTGCTGCTTCTGTAAAGGATCATATCAGGCAAGTCAATACCTAGAGTTGGGGAAGCTAGCAGCAATGATCGGGAACTTTCCTTAGGCACAATAGGGTGACACAAAAGGGACTTCATGCATTGGGGGGATGCGCTTGGAATCTAAGCCTAAAGTAGGGGATTCCAAATCATATCTTAGCGGCATCCAAATGGAGCATGGTGGCAGCAAGAAAAGTTGACTTAGATGGTGCACCAAGCAGAGGGGTCAAGTTTGCTAGCAAGACTGGGACCACGGAGGGCAGCCAAATAGGGAGTGGAAGCATGGACCCGATGCTTGAGAAGCTACTAGACTTGGTCGAGTCATGGGGAGATTCAGGCCAAGAGCAAAGAGAGGCATCCGATGAGCGGAGGATCGATGCCATCATTGCTAGCCGTCGAAAGTACAAACGGGGTAAGAAGAAAGGTGACAAGTACCTTGTAACATGGGAAGCCGAACCGCTCTATAGGGTATCATGGATAATGGAGAAAGATCTCCAAAAATGACAAGGCGAGGTGCGCGCGTACATGTCGATGCTTTGTGCCGAGGGCGGGTACAAAATTAGGTGGGGGAGAGTGTCATGGCCCGCCAATATCATCATTCCATGTAGGTGCCACATGGCTTATATTTTTACCATATGGAAAGCTTAAATATGAAATAGACT